CTGACCACGAAAATGACATTCATTCCTGGTTCCTATGTCGTCCAGCGCAATTGACCACGATCTTGGCTCCAAACTGGTGTTTGAAGTGACGCGTGTGAAAAATAGATGTCATGTCCGTAATGAGCGCACTGAAATACCGCTATAGACGAAGTTCCAGCGAAATCTTTCCCCGGATCCCGTCAGTGCAGATGCTTGGTGTTGCAGTTCCCAAATTCTGGTTGCCCTGAGCACCTATTGGCAGATATTCTTCCTCTAGGACGAGCTGTGTCGTCAGTTAAAGTGCAGCAACTGCCTTACGTACATATCTCGCATCACGCGCCTAATCCACGAATTCAAATTCAATTTTGGACCTTGCTTGTTTTTTAACACTTTTAGCAGGTTCTTTGGAAATTTTCAGCTCAGCTATGGCAGCGTTTTGTGCGCTAAAATTGTTAGCTAGATACTTGAGATTATGTCGTTATTGGGTTACCAGTTGTATCTTTTCTCAATTCTGTAGTCCCAACATGTTTTAGCATATTTCTGCCGAACTTGAACTGGAGAAGTGCTAAGTGCAGCCACTAGTTCTTCCAGATGGACTGGCGATCTATTCGAGCTGATCTGGGTTAGTTCATACGTACACTCATGTATGTATAGCTTTGTCGAATAATTCTTTGAAGTGTCAAAACGGTTTGCGTTTCTGGGTCCGTACCCTCCATGTCCCTGGTACAGACAACTTCAAGACGAGGTCAGTCTTTTTGTAATCAAGGCTTTGATAAGTGTCTTCCACTTGAATCTCTTATTACGTTTAGTTTGTTGCGTTAGTGAACGTCTCACCAGAAGAACAAGAACATTTGAAACGATGAAGTTCGAATGTTTTTAGCGGTAAGCTTACCGGAGTTGCTCATCCCTCTATTATCCTAGTTTTCTGGCTTGTAACGTAATAACTTTTATGGGTCTTCCCTGTGGCGAAACTTAAGCAACCTTCTTGATGAACATATCTTTGTATGTTCCATACGCGATCTATTTGTGGTATCAGAATGGGCGAGCGCCGAGGACACGAGCTTCTGTATCTATGAAGGAAACATGTAGCTGAAAATCACAAAGCGTAGGATTTATCTTTAGCCTTTTGCTTAGAGTATTCGTGAATCAAACGTATGACATCTATCATTGTGAGTACGACTTATATGTGGCTGAATCGCAACTTAAACACGGCTAAAAGTTAAGTTTCCGAACACTTTATTATTCAATCTTCCAAACAACTGTGCTCTTGAAGTCTAATAACTTGATTATATCAAATTTCACTAGCGAAATCTTCTGAGATGACTATATGTTCTGGTGTGTAATTTCTCAGCGGTGCATTATGTAATAATCGCGAGTCTTTTGGCCTATTTAAGTTGGCCGAGAATTCAGAGCTTTGCCGAATCGAGAGCGAATCGCTGACTCCGGACGCGTTGCGCCAGCGATGCGAAACGTTTGCAGCCCAGCGACTCAAGTAGTGGCTGGCCCATACGTTCAAAGGAAGCTCGTTCACTTGTCGCGAAACAGTGTCATGCTGACAGTGGACCGCTATTTTGAGCGCAAAGTGAGCGGCAACCACCTTTGACCCGTGGACTACTGTCTGAAAGTGCGCGGGCTCGCTTTGAACGTTTGTGTCCCGCCACTCTGACTCGTGTGTGCTGACGACTTGTTCGACTCGCTGGTGCATTGGCTGATTCGCTGGTGCAACGTTCAGGATCCACTGCTCGATTCGCAAACTATGACATCGGCCTTACCGTTCGACCTTCTCATCTCACCATCAGTCAAATGTAGGGTATGAGATGCATGGCCAGTAGTTGCAAATCCAAGTCAAGGTCTAGTTGCAGCCCACTGAAGAAGACAAGACGTTCATGATATAGGGTCAAAGTAAAAATTCCAGTTAATGTCGGCATGGCAGAGGAGTACGGAATATATTTTACTGCCTCTTTGTCAGGTTCCAATTGGAAGAGAATTTAAGTGTGCTTTTTGGCAGGAGAGCGTAGTGGATTATTAACATTTATTTGGCGTCATAGATGCAAGCATAGTGGCTCTGATATTGAAATTTCACTCTTTCACTTCAGGGATATGAAACGGAAAACATTCGATTCGTTTATGGATCTGCAAATGATGCTCCAGTGAGCATAAAAGTAAATCCTTCCCTGGATCCATTCATGAGGTCGGTTCTTACCTGATACTATAGGCCCACAACAGTGATGTAATGAGCATTCTACAGCAGCGCTGTACATGTCGTATAGCGCAATTATCTAGTTTTATGGTCGTTGTTTTTTATCATTGCTTTCAGATCAGCTGTGGAGAGGTTCAAGAAAATTTTCATAGATATTTGGTATGCTCGCGTATACGGTTACGGTATGGTCTTCTTTTTTTACCATTGGACAGGGTGAGCGAAATCAAAAGCTTGAACAGAAAATTCTGAATCTGACGGATAAATAATTGGTTCGAATTCTGACTCAATGGCAGGTCATTGTTCTGCAAGGAACATTATTCAGCTTTAACTCAAATTCATTTCCACCAGCTCTCACACAAGCCCATGATTCGCTTGGGAGACTCACTCATCGCACCACGCGCTCGGGTGCCTTCGATTTCGTCTGTGACCCTTCCGAGAGCAGCTGTAGAGATTCAGGACCTCTGGGCGGTTCTGAAGACCTGGGATTCGAGAATTGAGGCACATCAATCGAGCGGACTGAAACTAACATTAAGATCACCCGTGATCTCGTGGACACCCGTGAACTGAGAGTTATCCGTTGCTCCGGTATCGGTGGGAAAACCCTTGGAACTTGGTTTGGGCGACGATATGTGTGGTCTCCTCTATCCAACCTATTCGGAAAGACTTCCCAATCGGATCGAATCGAAGAAGTTAGCGAGCGCTCAGTTCCAATTCTTTCGCCCACCCTGTTTGCTTATTTTGTAGTTGTCCAGCATTTGTTTGGAGAGTGTAAATTCAATTTCAGTTCTTAAGCACGATTATTCATTTTCCCTCACCACAAGGGCTGTAGCAGAGGAGGTCGTTAAACAATTGAATAAGCTCATCTGTCCTATCATCGAATCTGAAGCGTATGATGTAAGGACACCGCTTCGTAGTTGCGTAATTGTGATGTTGTTTTGTTTGTGCCTCTTTCTTTTGTGCTGTATGTGGCCAAAGTTTAGCTTGCTGATTTTGGTTTGAATACGCTTAGCCGCAGTGTCGCTACTGTACAGTCATCTATAAAGGTGTATGCTAATGTGGTTATCGCATTGAAAAAGGTGTGTTTATTTGCTATTCAAAAATTTCGCTCTTATTAGCCGCCTTTCTCAGGATCGTCTGATTGGAGGTCAAGTACTGACAATGCTATACAACATGCGAATGAAAGTCATAATGGAGAAGGAGATGCGCGATATCCAGGATCTATTCGAGGTATTTTTGATTTAGTGTATATTGTGATGCTCTTGCCCTCTTGTTAATAGGCAGAAGGCAGACCTCAGACCGCTCTCATGTTTCCCATAGTCATCATCTGCAAATTTATTAAGTACAGGCGGCTGATGTGTTAAATTTCTCACAATGTAAGATGTCGATGATAGGGTTCGGGAAAAATATCTTTCGAACCCTATCATCGACATCATATTTTTTTCTGGTTTTCGGTCGCCCTCTCTACTGCACTGCGGGAATCAATGGGTATGATTCCATTGAGTGTCATTTTAAGATATGTGTTGATAAAAGCAAGCTCTTTTCTCCCGGCGATAATAGGACTCGTGGCGGAAATGTCAAGATTTTTATTCCCAGATCGAACACCAGGCTTAGATTAAATTTTTTCTGTCATCGTGCTGGGTCTGCATTCAACAAGATCATTAAGAGGGGAGGCTTCCCTAAAAGTTTTGCTCTTTTTCGGAAACTAGTTGCCCAACATCTGCCATAGGTCTTCCATTATTTGTTGGCTTACCTTTTCTCTCTAACTCTCATCTGTTGTTCAAAGTTGTGTTGCTTTCTCCATAGTACTTCATTCCTAAGTTTACTTTTATATTTCGATTTGCGTTTTTATGCACGTTCTTTAGTAACGAATTCTGTTCACGAGTGCATTGCAGTTATTAGTGATTGTTAGTTATTTGTTTTACCGTGGTTTTCCACATGGGTACAGCGCTCATGTAATAAAATCAAATCAAATTTTTTATTCTGCAGCATTTCCTGCTAATCCACATTAAAACTTCATACCGTTACGAGCACTATTCGCCTTGATCTTATAGCAACTGAGGTTTCCAACAAGTGTTGGCGAAGAAGCGAAATTACGCATTATTGCTTGTAATCGTACGGCTAAAGGCAAAGTAAATAACTGCATGTGCAGGTCCACTTTTACCATCATCATCTTTTGCGCTAGCCGAATGCTGCTCCCATTCCACAGCCTTTCCAATTGCCACTGAATTGCACCTTTCCCTTCTTGATTACTAGTCTTTTTAGGTTGCTTGGAAGATGTTTGCGATGAGAGTAGGTGCATGGGTGGAGCAGGGATTGGTCAACGACTCGGAATTAGAGGTTTACCTTGAATGTTTCGTATACTCTCATTTTTCCGTTAATTGGTTTCATTTCCGAAGATCACTTCTGCAGTTTTCTAGTTCATTATTTGGCCCACTTCTTCATTGTCTGCATCAATATCTCAGAGAATTCTTGCTGATGCTACCATGAAGTGAGCATTTTCGTAGTCTTTCTTAGAGCGCAGTTTTATGTCTTGCCGTCCGACTTCAGGCTGGATTCATCCGATTATGTTCTAATTGAAGAACTCTGCCCAACATTCCTTCTCGATTTATTACCTTCCATCGCCAAATGTGGCGATTATAACAACATGATGGACAAGGCGCGAATGAGTGAAGGTCAGTAGCCTTTCTTACGCATGGTAATTTTGGTCCAGTTTATTTGTACCCAATAATACATCCAGACCCCTGAACCAGCAAAACAAGTGAATCTTAGATTTTTAGACATTTTTTTCAATCGTAGTGGAACTATAAATGCAAGGACCAATAAAGGCCTGAGGATCACCAGATAGATACCCAACCTTATAGAATACCCAAATTTCCATAGTAATCAGCGGCTGTTCTAGTCGCATAGGTAAATTCATGGTAATCTTGCAGGGAAGGTCTCGACAGATTGGTCCAAGATGGACGTGACTGGATTGCATCGTAAGGTATGCTATCGTTTTGTGCCATATACTCTTCTAATAGATCAAAATAATTCTTGTTATCTAGGTTCAAGAGATCGAAAGGGAAAAGTCGGCAGTTGTATTGAAGCAGTTATGTGCCAGCATTTCATTTGACGATGCAATACGGTGATCTTTTCTAAAATTTGTTTTTTTTTGCATATTATGAAGTGTGCTTTGCTTGGTCCTAATTATATTCTCTATTTAAGGGACACAATGGCGTTATTGCTTGACGGGAAAGATATTGATATTTTGTTGAGATCGTGCCAAAAAGAGTCAATCCTCGATCGACCCATCGAAGAAGTTTCAAAGTCAGTCCCAGTTCTTCGAATCGGAATGTTTTGCTTATTGAGCTCGTTTTTCAACGTTTCACTTCCAAGGAATCTATGGTCCTTTAGCATGATGACTTTTCAGGCAACAACTCCGACGAGTATCTGAATCGTTTATAAAAGGTGTGGCCAGGAAATTTCCCTTTGTGTCGAATTTCAAGTGAGTGCAGTTTCGAAGATGTGCAAGGATCTCTTTTTGTCTAGAGTTTTTTTCCTGGTAGGATGTAAAATTTCTCCTTCGTTTTGAGACTTACGCCATCTGACAAATGTGTATTCGAAGAATTGAGAGATTCCGGTCTTGTAAACGATGCACCTGCGGAAAAGCTCGAGCAACAATCAGAGGTTTGTTTGTGCTTATTACTAGGTTGAGCAACAATTATCTTCCGTTTCCATTTCACTCATAAGTTTATTAACGAAACCAAACAAAAACAACATGTCTAACATGTACGCGCCCTAAAGCACTGTTATGTATGGCTGATCACCTCCGCTAGGGCAGACGTCAGACTTAGCAGGTGTCAGACGCGAGATTCACTAGCGCTTAATCGCAGTCTGACACCAGCCCAACTCATCTGTCCTGCTAGTCTTGTGTGATGCGTTAACGGTATGTAACATTCTAGTTGCATTTTTCAGATACTTTTCGTTGATCGTTTGTCATTAGAGTACACCCCTCCGTCAAAAATAGAGAAGCTTATTCCTATCCATGTTGTGAAAATGTACACGCTCGTGTTCCGAGTATCTTTGCTGCTGAATGCTGCCATCATGTACTTATCGGAGGCGTGAGTTTGCTTTCCGATTAATTTTGTTTGGTTAGATTTCATTTGAATTCTGAATGGAGGTTGGATTGGACCTATATGCTTCATGTTTAGGATTTTTGAATTGGGTCTTGCAAGAGATCCAACAAAGGTTGGGAGAGCCTGTATTTTATCGGCTCTCTATCGGTACGTTATCGATCTGACAGTCAGCCTGACGAACGCTGTAGCTCGTGGTGTGACGAATTTCACCAGTGAAATGTCAAAGGTGAGAAGTTTAGGTAAATCACGCATTATGTTCTAATTGTTCTGTGTTGTGTTCAATTTTTTGGGATCTGTCCAGCTTTTTTGAACAACCCCAGAGTAGAGGCCTGCACGCTCCCGGAGCTGGTGTCCAAAATTATATGAAATTGAAAACCGAGATTCGCGCGATATCCTGACCGAAGTTAAGTATTCCACCAGGTCGTCGTCTAATCCGGGAGCTGTTATGAGCAGCACCGATGAGAGCTTTTACAGAAGTTTTCAATATGGCGCAAAAGCATCTCAGAGGCCCACAACTGATGGAACCATTCTCTTTTTAAGTAAGGTAGACAAATCCGGGTTCCGAAGGCGTAGAGGTTGTCGCGATTTCGGGCAACTGAGAAAAAATACACTGCCTCGTTCACGGAGCCCGCTCAGTGAAATGGCTCTAGTTCTCAACGAAGGCTAAAATCTTGGGGAGGGATACTTCCAATGAACTACAAGAAGATTGAGTTTAGGAGATTCCAATAAGGAGAGTGACGAGGAAATGAAATGAGGAATATTTGATGTGTAGTAAGAATGGGAACTCAATTTAGCCCACAATTTCTCGGCATCGTTCTTGTTCATTGGGGAAATTAGTTTTTGCAAAAGTGGCTTTCCTTGCACTCCCTTTTTACAATACCTTCCACATCCGTCTTTGAAATTTGGACGAGTATATACACAAGTAATCAATTTTTCTGTGCCACACATGTCTTTTGAGGCGAAATATTTATCGTTCTCAATGTTTCAATGAGCAGATTGTATTTTCTGATCATGTAGAGCAAAAATGTATACTAATCATTTAGGCTGAGAGCATAGATTCAGCTCTCAAACTGCAGAAGGACGTCGTTTTTCAAATATTTGCGGTTAGTTTTATTTATTAAGCTTATTACTTTCCTTTCATCGCTACGGCCGCAGTGGTATCTTTCCACCTCTTTTCCACTCTCCAGGCTCTCTTGAGCGAATTAAAAGTTTCTAGCAAACGCCGCTCGGTTAACAACAGGCTGCACTTATTTGAGCGAGCCTATGCTAAGTTCTAGTCATTTTACACCACTGCACATTAATCACTCGCCGATTTTCATACGTATCTAAGCTATCTTAAAACGCGACTATGACATTGTGTAGTAACCGCCAATATGGAGAACTTGCCCATTCAGAGAAAGGCCCGCCAACCGCGGTTGGGTGTCTCTGTCTGATCTGCAAGCCCGACAAACGTTTCCTGTGAAGACTTCTGCTGAAAGCGAATAACAAATGTCTCGGCACGCTCCACCATGTGCCCTGATCAGCATAATCTCACAATGTACTCTCGTATTCTTGTCCATAAATCCAACCAATTCAAGAAAACTTGTCTCGACGCTATTGCCAAATTGATTCTTACGGCAATGAGGGAATGCCTGAACAAAAGCCGACGCTTAAAACGGCCCCGGCAACTGTGTGATACAAAGTACCCATGTGTTTACTGATTCTTGCGATTCTGATATCAGGAAAGTGGACCTGAATCAATGGAGAAAGTGCTACCTGAACGGCTCCGTGGATTAGTTACTCGTTTGAGAGGACGGGTTATCTGGATTAATTTCCTGCATGAATTATCCATCGTCCTATCTAAGTCCTGCAACAAACTGGCCGAATTTTGAATTTAATATTTTCATTATCTTTTTGTTCCATTCATCCGGCATGCTACCCTCCATCAATATCTACAACCTATTGCCAACACACTAGTAGCTGCTCGATGCCTCCCTTGTAGGACTCTACTGAATTCTGATCGAAGAAAAGATCAGATGTCGATTTTGACATCATCATAGTTAGGATGAGCTTTCTTCTCTAGGAGATGGTTTGGAGAAGGGCATTATTTGCCTCGAGGTCAGGGCTATAACGTGAATACGGAAGAACTCTCCGTCCCAGAGTCTCGAAATTTTCCTGAATTTTCTTAGCAAGAGGTTTTTCAACGGTGTCATACAAAAGCAAACTTTGCCTTGTTTTTCTTTCGTATTAAAAGCGTTGCATTCGAGCTGTGGATAGTTGACTTTCGCGTTGACTGCGACATCTACACGGAGGGGTTTCCAGAGCTTAACTCCTCCGTGTTCCACCAAAAATCCGAGAAGGCCCTACTTGGACGAGGTTGAACTAAGCAATAAGATCTCCCGAAGCGTTTGAGCTGGACTACCGCCGCTTGTTCATTTGTTAGTAAACTGTACCCACTCCTCATCTTCGGCAAATGTGATGGATGGTCAATCGTAGAATCCCTAGTAAGTCGACTTGAACATAACGGTGTCAGATCGTGTTTGGAGCTGAATCGGGCTCAAGGCACGTGGGGACCAAACTCTACATTTTCGGATCTTCACAAGTCTTTGGAGATGCCACAGTGCTGTCTCCTTGTCGCATCGGAATCGCTCTAGCAAATGATCGATACTCTATCCAGATCCCTTTTCAACGCGTCAGATAGAGCATCGTGATTGTCAGTCACAGGGTGGTTGGAGTGTGGGTTATTTTCAAATGAAAAAAGTCAACGCTGAGCAGAGTGAAGCGCCGTGCACTGTGGGCCGAGAGAGCGTGCCCTCGCCTATCTTCTGGCCAATCCTTGGTCTAGCATGACTTGCGGAACATTCCAAGCAGTACTCGTAAAAATTAAGGGCACCGAGAGCCCTCTCGCGAAATCGGTGTAATATCCATAATAAGTAAGCAGACAACGAGCTGGACCGTTGGCTGAAATTGCAAAGGTTGATGCTACGTCAGGAAATATGTTGCGGATTTTCAGGAGTTCTCCCTAAAATTCTATAGCATTAAATGTAGTTTGTTGCAAGACTTATGGACCGACCTAATATTTACACCTTTCTGATCAATAGCGATGAATTTTAGGAGTCGACTACGCTTTCTGAAGATTACTACGTCATTCTGGAAGACGTGGAATCAATGCAGCTTGTAGAGTGAATTTGGTGTGTTTGTTCCTTTGCAATGTTGTTGACATTGGGATCTTACCATTAGATCAATACTGCATGCCTTACCGGTTCTCATGGGCATAGCGGGTTATCTACGGTTATATCTAAGTTCTTGTAAAATAATCACTGTATTATCAAATAAATGTAGACTCTATAAGTCGTTTTTTGTGTTGTTTTTCTGTATCAAGAAAAAGAAAGAGAAACAAGAAATTCCACTGCGTCCTGTAAGTTCCTGTCCTCTTTGTTCTGGGCTCGCAACTTCCCGAGCCTAAACGACGGCTGCATGGAATTCCGCAGATGTTCAATAGTATTATGAGTCACCCTGCCTACGGTATGGTTACTGCACCTGCAGTCGTTTTTCTATTAAAAAAAACTGTAAGACCAATTAACCACTTTCCTCCCCAGTGGAACAACGTCTTCAAACGTCCGCGAGTTAATCACAAAGTACCACCGTACGTAAACTTAATCTACGTGGTCGGTGTGGCACGAGCTCACGCCAGAGCAAGGGTGAATACGGGCGAGGAAATCTCGAGAACCATGAGCTCTCTCTACCATGCGAGAGTGGTGCCGAGAGTGAACATCCGCGCGGAGAGCACAGACTGCACGGCATGGCGAGTGTGAATGTTCGCGCAAGAGATCGTCTCTGATCGGGCAGAAAATCCTCGGCGTGCCGTTGAGGAATCCTCGAGCGATATCCAGTACCTGGCGCCAGAAATGCTGGCTTTTGGGCAGCAAGCTTATTGTGAAAGAATGGACCTCAGCAGGGTGAATATTGCTTGAGGATTCCTCAACGGCACGTCGAGGATTTTCGCCTGATCCTTTACGTTCTCGCGCGCGGATATTCACTCTCGCCACCCGCGAGCCGTCTGTGCTCTCCGCGCGTACATTCACTATCGGCTCTACTCTCGCAGCGCAAAGCGAGCCTTTATTCACCCTGACCTCGAGGGTGGTCAGGTTCAAATTGTGTCTCGAAAGTACTACTGTAATGTCATCAACTCCGCCCATCGTTTTCTGAAAAAGCAGCATCTCAAACACGTCTTACATGAATTGCCCGAGGCACAGAGGAAGGCATGCGTTCGTCAAATCTCCCTCCTCAGGTAGGATCTGTGCTCCGTTCAGTTATTCTAAGAATGCGAAGTGTATTTAATACCAAATTCCTGTCAAGGACTCTGCTGCCTGGATAAAGAGAAGGTCACCACAACAAGTCCGATGGTGGGAGTCCGTGGCTGAGTGTGTACGTCTTGCTACAGAACAAGATGTTGTTCAATGATGTTGTTCTGATTAACTACTTCCCATATGTCTTGTGCTGCGAAGGTTGTACCGTCTTGGTGCTTTTGCTGTTCTATACGCTGAATGATTCCGGGTTCAGGTTGTTGGTTTTCCTCTCGGAGTTTCTGCTCCGTCGTTGAGTTCCAGAGGGATGAGTAGATTGATGGGACGCCTGAGAATGTTTCCGTTGGGCATATGCAATTCTACTTCTCTTATGGCTCCATCTTTTCCAGGTTTCAATGCCGATATTCTTCCTATTTTCCAGGTATTGCGTGGTAGGTTGTCGTCAGCAAGTAGTACTACCATGCCTTCTCTCGGTTCATGGTTTCCTGCACGCTTCCCATTCGTGTATTTCTTGTGCACTTCTCGCAAGTTACGGAGGTAGATTTGTGCCATATGTTCCAGAAATATTCTGTCGCTTCAAGCGTGGATGCAAGGGCTTCCTGTGCCTGTCTTCTGGTTTGGAGACGGAATAGTTTCTCGGAGGGTAGATAATCTGGGTCGTCTTTATCCGGTTGTAAGGACTCGAAGGGATATGTGTTTCGATATCTTTGACGATAAAATCGATAGGACGCAAAGGTCTTAAGGGTTCGTAGTCTGCTCCTTGGTATGTCAGTGGTCGTGTATTCAGAGTACCTTCAATCTCAGTCAGTAGTGTCGTCAGCTCCTCTTCCCTCAAAAGACGATTTCCAACAGCTTTTGAAAGAAATGTGTTTTTTTATCGCATTGATACCGATTACAGAACCCTCTTGTGGGTTATACAGTCACGAGGCGAATATGGGCGTCGCATATGTTGCTCCATTCATCCTTTACGTGCCATTGTGGCTTCAGGCCATCGTCATTGGTGATGGAGGTATTAGCGTCTTTGTGAGTATTGAGGGCTTCAGAACAAATGTGAAAGCCATTGTTGAGGTAATTGTTCTTGGGACTTAACGAGCGATGGAATCTTCGAGGCTATGAGCAGCAGCCTATCGCGTTGCACGTAGTAACATATACACTGCGACGCATAATTATAGTTCCACCTACAAATTTCCCAAAAACTTGAATCTGGGGATGTTTTTGGAAAAGGCTCTACAGATAAATTGTGACACATATAAACGCGAATCTGAATATTAACACGGAAATCCAGTTTGAGAAAGCAACAATTTTTTATCCTTATTTTTTCGAAAATATCCGCTTTAGCTTCTCCGCTGCATTTTGCTTTTACCCAATCAAAATTTGGAATTATTATCCATTCAAGTTCCTTAGCTTATAGCAAAGGCAAAACCGCTGTCACACTTCCGTAAAAGGGAAATCCTAGCAAAAGAGACGCAGGAATTGTCAAAGTGTCAGCTCCGCTGGAATTTGTCGGGGTGACTTCATAACGAACAAATTTCTCAAGGATGCTACAGGATATGACTGGGAGGAACCCTGATTACTATCCGACTGAGATAAGCGCCGTATCGTGAGAAAATGATATCCAGCCGGGTACTGAAATTGTAGGTGGAACTATAATTATGCGTCGCAGTGTATAGTGTTATCCGAGGTGGCGGCATGTGATAATGAGCCGCGACGCTTTGGCGCCATGGGAACGGAGTATCGGTAAGATTCACACACGCAGCGGCGTATATTGAGGCCATATATGGACTGATCGGACTTTAGGCCCTACAACGTCTAGGAGGAGGCAGAATGCGTCGCTAGATTAACGCAGAGACCCATCCGAGGACATGGTCAGATTCGACGCCGGCAGGACGTGAGAGGAGGACATCAGAGTGTTTGGGACAAAGGCCATGATAAATGTGAGTAACTTAATGGTGTAATTAATGCGTATTTTGAACTGGTGGTCAGGGTGTGCCACGGCAAGGGGCCTTACTCGTTCGCTTTACGAGTCCTTGTATCTGATGTTTGTGTTTGATAATTAGGCTGTTTTGTAAATGCCTTGGGGAGCGGTGCCATGTCGTGGGGGAAAACGGCACGGACTCCGGGATGACCCGCTCGGGACAGGCGGCACCCCTCTAGTTTAACACGTTGACGACAGCCCCTTATTCGTGTACCTCGGCAACTTTTTGTTTATTTTTTTCACAATCGTCATAACTTCTTCAATAATTCCACTACTGGTAATTGACTCACAGTTTTTCGGATAAGATAACGCATGCACACAGTTTTGAAATATGAAAAATGCCAAATAAATCGAAAAAGGCTGGCCAGAATCGGGCGAAATTCTGACGCGCATGCGCGTCATGCTGTCGTCAACGTGTTGAAGAAGGAGGTCCGGAACCTCGTCACATCGGGAAAGGGACCTGAAGGGCGGTCTCGACGGAGAAGAATTCCATGCCTCCAACGGTTCCACGACACACTTGTTGGGAACTGGTCATTGTTGGTCGAATTGTCCAATTCTTCTGTGCCACGCAATAACGAGAAGTTTTATAAATTATGCAAATCAGGTATAGAATAAGGGAAGAATAGCGATCTGTAGTTTTCAGAAGCACGATTCTCCAGCACCAAAATTAGTTGAACATTCAAGTCTACAAATCATCAGAAATCACTGCATTATATGGAGATCAAGAATTAAATACAAATTTGAATTCGGAACAAACACGCTTTAATATTTCTCAACTATCACTACGCGAGTACATAGTACTCGTAGGGAACTCGGCACAAGAGCTGGAACAAAATTGAATCGTGATCTCTTCATACATCTATATACATAATGGTCACATTTATGTCGATTGAGAGCACTTGTTGCCTTCAGCACTTTTCAAGTATAATTTGGGGTTTCATTCAGGCAGCGTTCCCTTTAGCTTCGGACCAGCTGGGGCTCTCTTTCACATGATTCCAAAAAAATTCTTCTCAAAGTTAATGAGGGTATAGAAATTTCTACCACGTCGTATTTGGATGGCTGTTGTCATTCACCTGAGACACATTGCGACATGGTCGCGATTCTGCTATTATGGTGGATGCGAGACGGTAGAGTGCGTAAGAGAAGCAGAGTTCCTGGTTAGTTCTGCGTCCCTGATAACAATGGAAGTGACAAAGATATATGTGACCTTTTCCCCGATTACGGTATTGAGAAATGAAGGGCAACTAAATATCCAACTTTGTCGAAATCAACTGTTGTAGACGGGCTACCTTTGAGATTCTGTTTCAGAGGGTTCTCGGCTTCCGTTTTCCCGGCCTTTCCGTAAAACTTAGATGCAGCCAGGTCATCAGTTTAACGTTGAAATGATGAAGTGCTTAGTAATCAAGCTTTCCCGAGCATGCTCTCCCGGCTGGATTTTTTGAGGGAGGACAAGCTTTAGCAATTAGGTGCGTTTCAAAACTATGTGCACACCCTCAAAATTTCGCGTTTGAAAGGCAACTATGAGGTCTCGTGTTATATATCTTCTCATCGATTTCTCGTAGTCGATAACCTATCAATGGAAGCAAAGCAGATAATATCGCCTCACTTTCGGAAAAAAATTTTGGATGAAATTTTTTTCTTTGTTTCAAAAGTATGTGCACACTTGAAGAAGATCAGATTTTGGCGCCGAATTTTCCACCGATTTCAATCCGACTTTGCTGTTTTCATTTCGTCATCATGTCAATTCGCGCCATACTTCTTCCTGAAGATGAGCAAGCTCAGATCAAGGTTCTGCATGATAATGAACGTTCCAATCTAGAAATCGCACGATAACTTGGTCGTTCTCCTTAATGCATTCGAAGATTTATCTGGCACCCTGATAATTATACTCAGCACACACTCCGCTCCATCCACGATCCTTGACTGCTCAGAACAACAAAAGAGTAGCCCACATCCTGTCGGAATTCTTCATTGAGAGTCCGAGCTCAGATTTTTATTCCAGCCTCGAAAATAACCACTAAGTCCCTCATCCGCTCAAATGAATACACCACTCGACAGACGCTGAGGAAGGCTACTCACTTCAAAGCCCAGCACAAGTTAGCCACATGGAGTCTGCTCGTGCAGACATGTGGGTGAGGATACGAAGTGGAACATAGGATAGGACACCGGGCGAAGACACACGGTTTTTCGAGAATTTCCTATTTTCAAAACAAGCAACTTTTATGGACTTTCTCTCCTCAGGTAATCTTAACTCATGGAAAGAGTTCGATCTTGACGGGCCGGGTGGATTTTGCTACTACTGGAGAGGCTTGGCCGTGAGTCGCTCGTGCTCTGCTTCGAGAAGGAATTTTGGAAGAGGCGAGTTGATGTCTGTCCTGATAGCGGCCTATTTTTTCCTCTTCCTCCGCAAATCAGAGGAAATTCAGAAGTTGCCGTTCCATTATTGCGTATGAACTGTAAAGAATACCAAGCAGTGCTCCAATGTCACCTGTTGCCCTTCCTTAGCGAAGCGGAGCGAAAATTGCATTTTTAGCAACAGGACCACGTGTCTTTCGATGCTTCGCAATCTACCAAAGAATGGCCTTAACCAAATGGTGCTGAAGCGATAGATTGGCTTGTGTGTCCTCCTTACTGCAACCCTATAGGGAGCCCTTGATCAAGGCGTTAACTTTAGCAACCGGCAGTATAATACCGCGGATGAACTGAAGGCGGCGGTAGAGGCTATTTGGGCCGACAGCGACGAAACAGCTATGCCAAACGTGGTTCAGATTATGCCGGACAGGATGTTTGAGCTAATTAGAAACTCTGGAGGCCCCACTGATTTCTAATCTCAGCTATGTTTTTGTCTTTTGTTAAGTGTGCACATACTTTTGAAACAAAGAAAAAAATTTCATCCAAAATTTTCTTTCGAAAGTGAGGCGATTATCTGCTTTGCTTCCATTGATAGGTTATCGACTACGAGAAATCGATTGAGAAGGATTTCATAGCACGAAACCTCATGGTTCCCTTTCAAACGTGAATTTTGAGGGTGTGCACATACTTTTGAAACGCACTGTAGGTGTTAGTAGTCTAGCCCATCCGTGATCTTTTTTGAGGGACCTTAAAATTTTGCTCATTTCTTACAAAATGCTCTTGAGGCATTTTTACCATAGTAAAAGTTCTTCGAAGGCCTTTTAACACCTAATGCACCCTGTTTTCCTACGCACTGTCAAAATGTGTCTCAGGTTTAAAAAAATAATGACAAATGCAAATGAGCGTTAAGAAGTAGGTGAAATACGAAGATTCAGATCAGAAAAACGCGCGTTTTGCTTTCGACTTTTTTTGTTGTTGATCATGGTCGTCGTCGTTCCAACAGCCAGTCGATTCAGCGAATTTGTCGATAATCATAGAAATCGGGAACGCCAACACGATGATGCCACATACCGATGCCATCGCAGCGACCACCTTTCCTCCTAAAATTTAGATTATTCGTCCAAGAGTCACTGAGGAGCTAGACGAGCAGTGCAGAGAGTATGATGTGAAGGTGTCAGAACAGCGCCCAATTAATTGCAATGTTGGTAAGTAATTCCTTCGAATCCTTGGAATAGATGGTGGTTCAACAAATAAAGTCGGTATAATTGTTAACATTACTGCTTTAGCATATCGGGACTACGAGTTGGCACTCATAAGAAGCCGCTGTTCGAAGAAGATTGAAAGGATGTGTAGAAGTCCGTCTCAAAACACGATATCAAACAACAGCTAGGAACTGATCATGCGGAATATTATATCTCTTCCCCATCCCCCTTCCCCACTGTGGTTACTGAAGTTATCAGCGAAAAAAGCCGCAGGTGCACGCAATGCAGATTACGACGTAACGACTAAAAGCACATCAAAGTAAAAGAGATAAGATCAAAGGATAGCAATTGATGAGATATGTTTGAAATCTCGTCTAGATACGCCCCTTTACCATCGCAATGTGGAGAACGAGCGTATTTCTGGAAGACAGCACCTTGGTTGCAGCAAAATCGGCGTTTTCTTTTACGTTCTACTTCTTTTCCAGATCCATTCTCACCCCGCTTCATCATTTCGCTCTTACACACTTATTTTATCCCAGGATTGCCTTTAACCTATGTAGCACCCTTGCAGTAGCTTTCACATCAGGAGCTGTAGAGCGAAAAGTAGCAGTCAGCAAAACACAGCAAACCAAATGGAAGCGGCCGAATAAATGAGGAAGAATTTTGGCCAGTTAAAAATTTGGAAGCAGATGTGAACACTTACCTGCTGTGACCGGAACCAGGTCTCCGTAGCCGACTGTTGTTCATTGTGATTACGCCTAAATGAGAGTAAGAACTCATCATAGGAATAGTAGGTTAGGCTCATCTTGTTCATTTCATTCAAAAATTGTAGAAAATTAAAATCAGTGAATTGCATCGGAAAGAACCAATAAAATATACCACATAGAAAATTACCCACCACCAGCATCGCAGCAGTATTGAGTAGAACTCGAATTCGTTCATCTCTCTCGAAGAATAATGGCTGTAGAAAACAGCCTATCCTAGTACCAAAAGCGCAAGTTCAGTTTAGCGCATAAAGCTGGTTTTCGGTAGACTTCTGCTGCCTAGCTCCCCGTTTATTCAGACTGCCTAAAGGATTCTGTAACGGTCGTTGAATCCCAACACTCAGTGCATATTGTTCCATCGTCCACAGAAGGTGGCATATGAATGAGGCTTTTGATTCCTGCCGACCATGTCCCGCGTCGTAGCTTGCGTTCCCAGTCTGTTATCTCCAAATGCTACGCCCCAAACCAGGGTCAACCCTACGTTGTTACGAGTAACAACGGGGGGGGTCGTACCTGGTTGAGTTTGTAGGAGGGGGGTCGTACCCACTTTAGTCGCTCGAAATCACGTGTGGGATTGAGGTGAAACTAAGATTTCGTGGGTAGTAGGCTGGGCGAGTGGAGGGCGCGCAGGATAAAAATTTGCCGTTTCAGCGGGATATACCCCCCCTAGAAAAGGAAGTAGTGGGAGTATAGGTAAGAAATGGGTTGAAATGGTGGAAATAGAAGGAAATTTTGGGAGATATTTAAGATATTACCTCGTATAAGAGTGCTATGTGCCTCCCCCACGTCGACGGCATTTTTGGAGGAAAAAGTGGGAGATGGAGATGGTGGAGGTAGGGAAAAGGGGGTCGTATCAAATCCACGTTGGGGGAGGGGGGTCGTAAAAATTTTTCGAAAAGTAACAACGATAGGACAGACCCTGCTCCAAATATTCCTTGCCCACTAGATTGAGTTGAAAAACGAACCAGAGAAATGCCTCGGAATCTCGATAGTGATGTGACACTGTGTGAGTTTCCCAGTAAAGGGATGAATTCAACTACAAGTATCAAACAGCTACTACTACCCAATCCGATTGCTGTTTGCTGAATTAGAAGCCATTTTCTTTGAAATTTTCTAAAAGAAATAGCAGGAAATTATACACCACCCTCCGACTGAGTACTTAAAGGCAGCTCTTGGGATATGCTGATACCATTGATGTGTAAGTATGAAAGTGTAGGTGCCAAATGGTGCGCGCAACAAAAAACCAAGTGAAGCGGTCAAAACACAAGGAACGGTGACCTGTTTCCGTCCTTTGGTTGCGGGAGTGGACGAGTTCATCGGTACAGAGATACTTCGGGTGAAGTCGAACACTGACATGGCGCTATGGTGGTCGATCACCGTCATTATCCCTTCTGTGTCGGAGGTGGGCGTGTCTGAGAACTGAAGGGGCTTTTGATGCACCTCCGTCCCTTATCGCGCCGTTGACAAAATGCCTTCATTCGCGAGGGCTCCACCTGCTGTCTAATCGAACACTCTTTTATGCTCCCTGATACCCATCTTTCTAGATCGGATTTTAGTCTTTAAAGGAGGAATTCACGATAAGAACGAAGGTCAAAGAAGGGGAAAATTGCATAGTTGGGAGACAGGCGGACCTCCTGAGGGTGCTGACCGACGCGCAATTGGCAGCGAAAGATTTGACCTCGATCTAGCATGGCTCACTCTTGGCGCGGTTGGCGCAGTTGGCGGGGTAGGCACAGCGATGAGAGTCGCATCAATGCGCAAATCAACGGGCAAGGAAGGGGTCCCATTTCTCGGGTTTCGGGCCGTTTCAATGGTTTCTTCTTCATCCCTGCTCCACTGACCACCTCTACCCTTATTTCCAATGAGCTAACTTTTCATCGTAATGCCTTTAAGGCTTTCCTTGAATCAGGACTGCATATTTGCGCCGTCTGTGGGACTGCGTGTGTCCGCAGAGAGCAATCCAAACGTCATCTGATCGACTGATCTATGGGACCGAAATATTACGGCCATTTCTCAAGGCTCCATTTGAACAAAAGGAAACACGAATATTATGCAGAAGGCCAGAAATTATGGGATGCGCTGATGGGCTAGGCAATTAGCGGAGCCTTTTTGAAAATGGCGTTTTCTTAATACCACAGCGCTCACCCGTGACGAGGAACATGCCGAGCATGCTCAATTCGGCAGCACTCTTCTTCATCGTTTCGCCGAACGCTCGTAGACCTGTGCTATATCGGGCCAGTTTGAATATTCTTGCCACTCGTGCGAGCCGCATCACACGAACAACCAGCATGGCTCCTGAAATGCCCGTAAATTAGATTGAGTTCCAATTTAATCACACCCAAAATTTTCTTGAAGGAAGACTTCCGACTTTTTTTTAGAGTCCTATCTGAAGAAAATTTAAATTTAAAATTAATAAGATTTTAATCATAATTTAAGAAAGAAAAAAGCTCTCGAGCAACTCAACAATAAAGTTATACGAACCTCGAAAATTCTTCATCCATTGTAACTCATTGAATGCCTCGATGATGAACGGCAAAATCGTCAGAACATCAATGACATTTAGAGGTGAACGCACGAATTCCGACTGAAAAAAAAACAGATTCGAGCGTTGGAAATTAAGCGGCGGAAAACCCCGATAAGCGCTTTTACTCAGTTGCAAACCGACGAGCAGCCCCAACATTAAAGATTGAGCGAACTCTCGGACCATGGGCTACTTCGCTTTGGTCTTAGCCCATATGATAAGATATTTTCCCGATTGGATTCGAAGCCCTGTTTCGAGCCCTGCTTCTTCTTTTTTTCCTCCCAGAAAGAAATTTTATGGAGATCAATGGAGATCAATATCGCTAAACGAAGAGCTATTCAGCTGCCCAAATGGAAAGGACTCTAAAAACGTTCGCGCTTGGAGGTAGGAATCTTTTAATAATGGAAGCCCAGGGTAAGCAAGTCCTAACAAGGTTTGCACAGTCGAAACTCATATTTTGAAATCAGGATGTGATTCAACTGATAACACACACCTAAAAAAACTTTAGCGGCTTATCAAAGGCAGTGAACAAGACAATCTGATTTGCCATTCAAGACTCTTGTGCATGGGCGAAGTGGAGCAGATGCTTGTAGGGATCACTAGATGTGAATATGTAAATTGACCCCTACCGAACTAATATTCAGAGGTTTTCCCTTGGTCGCTGCGGCCGCTGCAGTTCTTATCATGGCCTGAATACTGGTATCTGTGCCCTGTCGTACGACGCGCTCTTGAGTTTTCTGCCATCGCAGCCCATCGCAGCCCTTTGCCTGCCTCCGTCGTCTAATGATCAAGCTCACAAAAGTCGATCTTTTAATGTAGTGCTTCTAATCGGTTTGCTATTACGTTTTTTCCGCCATCTTTGCACCCCATGTTCCATTTCCGAGTTGAGAACACAAAAATTCGATCGCAACACGTGCCTCCATGCTGTACGAAACGTTGGAACGTTCACTGCAGAAGCATCTTCTGATGGCGAAAATAGAGTAATCCCTTGTTTTGCTATTATTTTCCGTCGTGTCGAAAGCTTAGCAATATGTGTTGTGTCTTGTTCCTTGTTAAATGATGAAAATGTGCTATAATGGAGGGGAAGGGACTAAGTTGGGTAGTTTGTAAATCATTAGCTTTACGCCATGGATTTTGAAATTATGGATTGCAAAGCAGGGATCTATAGTGGAGATTTTCTAGAAGGTTCGGCTATATCAAAGGAAACGAGGCAGCTCGATTTCGCTTTGCTATCTTGTTACGGAAGCATGAGTATATAGCTTTCTGGCAGTCAGTTGCTGTGTGGATATCTTTTCACCTTTCTTATGTGACTTCTTGAGGAGCTGCATAGGCTTCCTCCATGCTGATTACCATTCGCTTTATTTTTAGATCATATAACGGGTAGCCGTTGTTGCTGTTCTTTTCTCGAAGTTCTTTTCAAGCTTCAAGAAGGTGCCCTTTCAACGCTAACTCACTAAAGTGAGTAGGTGCTTAAGTATTCACAAGAATACGCTGAACTTCTGGAATATTCGAGTTGTTCTTTCCACCCAGGTAAAAAGCTACTGTCTCTTGAGAATTCGAAATATGCGTGAAAGATTTTTTCCCAGCCAGTGTTCTAGTCCACATCACCGCTATTCTTATTCGCTTCTCAATATTGGGAGATACCGTATCTTCAAAGAGTCTGAAAAACATTTTATGGAAAGAAGTGACGAACCTTTCTTGGGTTGACAATAAACCGTGCAAGATACTCGACTGTGAAGTAGGCCATGCAACTGAAATAGAAGAAGCTTTATTCCAAAAACAATCAGGATGCCATCAACACTTCAACTGTGAGATCATGAGCCTTCAGTTTTATCAAATATATTAAAATTGTAATCAAAATGCAATGAAGAGCTATCGCTGGGCACGGATTCATCTTCTAAGATCAAGTCTAGGAGGAACTCGGGGCAATGTCAATATTGCTCATGCACGTCACTCCTTCCTCGCTCAAAGCTTACAGCCACTTTTGACAAGAAAGGGGTGCTTAACACATTTCGGATGCATTGGCACCACCTCACAATGCCACCGTATCTTACAATAACGCCGTGTGCAACGATTGGCGAGAGCTATAGAGTACAGAAGAGCACAGGCCATCTGAGAATCTCAAAAGCGGAAATTGTGATTAAACTGGAGTTCTTGAACTATGTCAATGATCCTTTGACCTGTCCCACAGGCAAAAATCATTTTTGAACAATGATGTTCTGTTATTAATACTTACACGAATCTGATTGTAGCTAACATATTCTTTATAACTTTGGAAAGTTTAACCCTTCTTATGGATCCTGACCACTATTCTATGGGTTACCCTAGTGAGTTATGGATTGAGGGCTAAATGATTGCCCGGTCCGCGGAATGAGAATCGTTCTTTTTTTGCTTCAGATGTCACAAATAGCATTATACTAAAAAAAATGCTACATTATAGAGATTGGCCGAAACAATTTTTGACTCCATAAATGGGAGGTATTCCAAATGGGGCGTAAGTCTGCTAGTGGCAGTCGTCCCGCATACCACACTCCGGTTTGGAGCCAAGTATCGACAACCGCAGAATACCCTCCTAACATTCAATCGCTACCAGTTTTACTCAGGGGGATAATTGCAGGGAATGTACATTGTCAATTATGGGCCAAATTTCACATTCAATTGATAACTGGTAGCATTAATAGTGTGTGAACTACATCTCCGTGCACCCTACAAGGCTCAGCCTGGAGTCGGAGCTTGATCCTTCCCTGAGAGCTTCTGCTATTCAAATGCTTCGGGAAACGGATAAAAGTTTGGAATTACGTGATTTCCAATTTTTATGTTGAAGTAAGTATATGTAGGAATTCCAATTTACGTATGCATACATTATTTTCCTGGAATCTGTTTTGTATTTTAAAACGTACCACAATTCCAACCAGTGAAGCACCTGATGAGGTTCCTTATTCTCATCCTGTAGTTCTGGCATAGAGCTAAGAATCAAACCTGAAAAAGGAGGCAGGTCATTGAAAGATCATGTATGGCAAATGGTAAAGCAGAAAATATAAATATTCAAAATGACCAAATTTTCAGAATCACGGAGCTATGTTTTGAAATTTAGAAGGAGGGGCTACGATTTGTCGAATTATCAAATAGAAATTGCAGTGACAAGAGCGATATTCAGGTATAAAATGTGATAAATAAGTTGAAATAGCTGACCTAATAATGACAGCAGTACGAAACAGGCTGAGACAATGGAGAACACTTTTGCAGCGAATGAGGATCGTGGATTTTCGAGCATTCGGTACAAATTCAGCCGCATTGGTCCCATCCATACCTTCTCAAACGATGAAGGAGGACAAGAACAGTCGATATTACTCTGAAGCATGCACAGTATTAAAAAGGGGATAACAGTCTAAAATTATCAAAAAATTGGATCAGTTTTGCTAGATATCGATTGGAACTGACTATTTCGGTTTTCTTCTTGGCGTTGTTATTGTTCTCTTCCAGCATACAGCATGGTGAGAGGTAGTGCACAGGGATACGCCAGTAGTCCAACTCATATCTTAACCTTATTGGGCAGATATCCATCGGTCGATGAAGTTTACCTGAAGAAAAAGCGGCTTCATAATCATTACAAATACCTGGATCACAAAAAAAGTTTTTAGTTCCAGCTAAGACGCTGTTTGATTCATAAAGGAATAAGGAAAGGTTAGAAATACTATCAAAGGTGAGCCATGCACTCAAATCAGTGAAAATACGCTGAGGCGATTGAACGCGCTTTTGAGTTGAAATTAGTAATCTTTTTTTTTTTTTTTTTTTTTTTTTTTTTTTTTTCTAACTTTGGCACTACCTGCGGCAGGTATCCATATAGCTTTAAACCTACATATTCTAAATTCTCCAAAGGTCGCTGGAATTCATTTTTACATCACTGATGAGATCTTTTTGGATATGTCCATGCATTTTGTTTCCAATGTAAGACATTTGAAGTGTGACATCTGGTCTACTCAGAACCATGCGTGCGCCAGCTCAATGTTAACGTGTTCTTTAAAGGAATCTTGCGCGGAAAAATCATGATTCTATTTCAGCCATAAATCACTGGCTTGAGACTCATTATCCACGATAATAGTGAAAAGAACTGAAGTATTGCTTTCGTTTTGATTAGAAATTCGAAAACTCGAAAAGGCTGCTACGCGTTCGAATTGCCCACGGACGTCTTTCACGAATGCTGGCGACGGGGATGCTCAAACTTGGTTCTTGGAGTGCATTCACTAGAAGCTCTTTCTGGCCTTCTGCTTCGTTGCATTCACATCTTACACTTCTACTCCATCCTATTCCATCGATCGATTTGTCTCCACTCTCCGAAATCGCGCGCTTTAACCCGATTCTCTCATTGCGTCGCCTGGTACGTAGCCGGCCAAACGCCGTCTTCTTTCCATGCCTCGCCTGGCTCTGCCTCCTGGTCCTTCGATGGTCCATAACGTGTAGTTTTTGTACGTTTGTTTCTCTTCAGAAACCGAATCTTCATGCGTGAAACTTTGTGTGCTATTTCCAGTGATCACAACTGACATATTCATGTTAGGAAAGAGTGCAAGAATTTTCGCAAGATTCCTTTAAAGGAGGATTGCACGGAAAGAACGAAGGTCGAAGAAGGGAGAAATCGCCTAGTGGGGAGAGCGGTGAATCTCTTGAGGGTGCGGACAGACACGCAATCGGCATCGAAAGATTTGACCTCTGAGATCTAGCATGGCTCAAAGTTGGCGAGTTCGGCGATCTCCGCCCACCGATCGTCTGATCACTCGCCGTAGTACAATAGGTGGCGAGTGATTAGATAGCTGAGAGAGCGTAGGTTGAAGAGGGCAAAGCGATGAGAGTCCCATCAATGCTCAAATCAACGGACAAGGAAGGGGTCCCATTTCTCCGGTTCTGGGCCGTTTTTCGTGGTTTCGCTTTCTTTCTGGTACTACTCACCATCTCTACCTCAATTTGGAATGGGTTGCTTTTCCATCGTAAATTCGTCCTTTAAGGCAATCAGCCGACTCAGGTGATAGAAACCTTGACTGGTTTTGGCGAGATTCGATCCCATATTCGAGCCCCGGACCATGGACGTGGGAGCTGGTATCGCTTGCTCTTGCTCCACCTCGACCGCTCGTCAGGGCAAAGATATCGAGTCCCACTACTCTGATCCTTCATTATCGCTTGAATCGATTGAAACTATGTATTCTTCTACTTAAACAAATACTTGATCTCTCGGACTTAAAGGCAGCGATTACGATAAAGAGGAGCGCATCGGGGAAGCATATGCACCACACGAATCAGTTACTTGGCTGCCAGGGAAGCGAGGTGTGGCGCTTTCACGACGAAAGGTGCGCTGGTTGCTGAGCAGGACTTCGAAAGCACTCCGCCCCAAAAGCGATCCGCCCACTAGTTTAGTTGGTGATTTGGACGAGCTGCGTTGCCAGCAGCGGCACAACTGGAGCAACTCGATTGGAGCGTGGTTTGGCATGGTGCCACCAAACGCGTTGCGGTGAACTCGTTCATACGTCCGCTTTCTGAGCTGTTACCTGTTCATGAGTGAAAACCAACGGCCAAAAAGGGGTCCCGTTTTGCTTTTCTTGACGGATTTCTCCTTTTTTCGCCACTGGCGTACCATTGAGCACCACCACGTCTCCTCTATACCCTTTTGAACCTATCGTAGTTGCTGCCTTTAAAAAACACCGGCTTCCGAATGGTTAGCAAAAGGGTTGAGTATTTATTACGTACTCTCTAAACCCATGACGGACCATGTGCATCACATGGTGACCCACGCACCATTAGAAGAGGACCCGTTCGCTCGACTTATTTTAGCATTTTTAAAGCTCCAAAACAATCTTTCACATTACCGGATCCGTATAAGCAAAACTTTTTCATCGATAATAAAATTGTTGATGGATTGATGGCTGAAATTATTGGAAAAAGCGCGGAAAAACGCCCCCGACGGCGATCCATTATGGGTTTAAGTCAGCGAGTACCATGTAGGTAAAACATCGACCACTAGGAATGAGGAGCTGCTCCAAGGATCCCTATTCATACCCTACGCTAGGAGACTGATTTACCCTCTATGGGAGAATTGAAACAGACCCTTTTGCTACTTTGTGCACGAGATGTACACAATACCTAGACTATAGCTTTCATCACATAATTCATGTGAATATCCATGAAGAATGCGAGGGGATTGTCCACACAATCTCGTGAATGTTATTATTCAATACTGCCATGTGTGTGTGGATTAGTTACGAGAAAAACTAAGTAGTTTTTTCCTGATTCCTCACAACATCCTCTTCTGAATTAATTGCATTTGCTTCATATTACGTGAGATGATTTTTGAAAAACACACTTTTCTTTGATTTGCTTCACTTCGTTTTGGAGCCCCTTGTTCAACAGTTTTGCCGTGTGCGTACATCGGTTAAAAAGGCACGCATGCAGTACTACGACTAACTGAGAAGCGCATAACAATATCGTAATCCCGATGGCTGATACAGGGAAATGTTTCGGCAGATCAGACAGGCTTAATCCTAGTCCCGCAATTAGAATCATGAGCCAACTTTAAGCTCCTAGGAGTTCTCGAGGCGCTTCGAAGAATATAATCACAGGCAGGCCTAAAATAGCCTTTAATCGGCACATCAGGGAAGGCGCAGTTATTGTAGCCCGAGTCGCTACTTTAATTTTAATCACTAATCAATTTTATAATAATAATATCACCTACCAGTTCCACAAGAATACAGGGTTAAAACGAAAAAAATAAAACTTTCGCTGTTTGGGCGAGCACACCAAACCAATTCGAGGAATCCCGAAAACAGGTACAATCGATTACTACAGTTGTTGTTATTGTTGTATTTGCGGATAAAACGCGTACAAAGATCTGGCAAGGAAAAAAACTCAAAAATAAACGAATATGGTTCATTTTCGACTATTCATGTGCACCCCAAGTGAAGCACACCGTCCGAAATTTATTGAGAATCATAGACGTTGTAGTTATCAAAATGAAACGACGTGCCAGCCGGGCCCGCAAGGGCAAAAAAAAAAGCGTTTTCAATAAAAACACGTGGAAAAGAAGATGTGCTGTTAAAATGTTGCAAGTGCCATCGAATGGACAGACGAACACGTTACAGAGGCGCGGGGCAACGACCAGGGCCATCCGTGGCATTCGGCGACTTCAAAAACTTCAAGACCCTCAATCTAGGTTTTCCTGCTGCGCTCCCAGCAACGCAGTTACATCAGCCTAGAAGGAGACAACCAGTCCATAGAAACCTCTCTCACCACCACGACCATTTTTCATAGCTGTCTGTACAGTATTTATTGTAAGACCAGGCGACACCAACCCCAATTTCGCGCACATTTCCCCTCCGAAACTTCGCTCACATTTCCCCTCCTGCCGTCGAAAGAGGGGTGGCAAACTAAAAGAAAAACCCACTGTATGTCGCAACGGGAACCTTATCGATTGTGGAGAAGAAAGCAGAACAAAGACTGAATATTTGTGCCCGAAATGTGGGCCCAAAGGTCCTACGCAAAATTGCAGCCCAAATATGAACTGCATAGGGTGTTAATCAATGTTCTACTTTTGTCCAATTCACGCACGATTTTTTGGAAGTTTCTCCCGGAAACAAGGTTAAATTTTTAGTTGAAATGCGCCCCGCCCCCCCCCTCCCTCAGCTTACAAGCTTCTCTAATCTGACAATACGGACCCGTCTGGTTCGGCCAGGCGGTCTGCCGATAGGACTATACAGGTAGAAACTGATGCTGGTTACTCCTAGCATCGTCCTCTCGACAGCGCGTTGGATAACGCTGACCGCATGCTCGTCCTGCCGCGCAGAGTCCAAGTCTCTGAGGCGTAGGTTAGGGCAGGAAGGACAGCGGAATCGAAGAGGTGGGCACGGAGCCGGATGTTCTTCGTCTTCTTCACTACTCCCTCGATGTTCTTGTACGCTCCCCAAGCCGCTCGTTTCCTCCTGCTCAGCTCTGGAGCTAGATCGGTTTACCAAATCCTACCAACGCGTCAATGCGCCACCTTTAGTCAAATGTGAGGATGGCTGGCGAACAGTAACAGCAAAGTTACAACAATTTTTGATTTTTTGCAAGCACACTAGAGTTTTAGAAGAGTAATTCCTTGGGGGATTAGTGTGACCACGCTAACTCGGTGGGTCGATCAGGATGTCAAAATATTTCACAGTACCGGCGCCTAGCATTAAATACAAGGTTGCCAAAGAATTGGCTAAAAGATGTAGTCCTTCTGAGAAGAAGCAGTTGATGGACCATCAAAGTATAACATAACGGAACAGCTCTCGAAGCTAGGAAACCCCTGCTGCTCTACCACAGATATTTCCCATAGACAGTCTCAAGCGTCTGTCGCGTATACAACAGTGATTAACGCTTTTTCTGTGCTAACGGCTAAGCTCAAAAGACGCTTAACGGCTCAGCTCGGAAGTTTCTGCAGTTATGGGGAGGACGTCACGTCATAAACTCCAGGAAGTGGAGTGCCAAACTGTCTGCCGATCTTTCACAAAAATGCTAAGTTGTGAACAAACTCCGATCGTTCCCAAATCTTAAGATAT